GGTGCTCCGGTTTCCCCCACAAGTCCAAAGACATGCGCTATAAGTGCATATAAGCTAAATTGTCCATAGTGTGTGAATAAGAGTGTATGGGTGTTCCCCAGTGATGGGTTGCAGCTGGAAGGGCATCCGCTGCATAAAACATATGCTGGATAAGTTACTGGTTCATTCTGCTGTGGTCACCCACATCTCAGTTGAAGTTATTAGAACTTTTAGCCTCTTTGAATTTTTTCTTTTTTAAATATTTCCCAAATGATGTTTAACAAAGCAAGGACATTTTTCACAGTATCTCTGATAATATTTTTTTCTTCTGGAGAAAGTCTTATTTGTTTTATTTCAGCTAGAGTAAAAGCAGTTTTTAATTTTCTCAAAACCATTTAAGGGTCTAAATTATTAGCCCCTTTAAGCTATATATTTTTTTTCAATAGTCTACAGAACAAACCATCGTTATACAATAACTTGCTAATTACCCTATCCTGCCTAGTTAACCTATTTAAGCTAGTTATGCCTTTAAATGTCACTTTAAACTGTATAAAAATGTCTTGAAAAATATCTAGTAAAATATTTTGTACTGTCATCATGGCAAGGATAAAATCAATCAGTTATTAGAAATGAGTTGTTAAAAATATCATGTTTAGAAATATGTAAAAAAAAAAAAAGTGTTCTACGTTAAACAGAAATTGGGGGAAAAATAAACAGGGGGCTAATAATTCTGAATTCCACTGTATGTATTTTCATTTCTTATCTTAAACCTTGATAACAATTATAAATATTTAAAAATAAATACAATTAAAAATGCAATGGTTAAGTGTTTAAAACCTACATCTTGACAAACAACAAATTAAATAATAATAAAATAATATAACCTCAATAATAAGTAAGTCAGTGTTATGTTTTCCTCCTAGGCTGTGAAAGTCCTGTAATATTTACAATGGCAGACGTCTTGCAACTCAGTATCAACAGTCTACAGGTGCCAGGTAACATTTCATTGAACTTATTCGAATTTAAAGAGATTCATTTTTCTATTTACTCACCCCGAGGGGTTACAAACCTTTATGAGTTCCTTTTTTCCTGTGGAACACAAAAGAAGATTTTGTGGAATTCTAGAAACTGGTAAAAAATTTATTTCATAGGAAAATCAAATACTATGGAAGTCACACGTTTTTTCAACATATATTCATTTTTGTTCAACAGAAGAAAGAAACTGAAACAGGTTTGTGACAAGTGAAGGGTGAGTAAATGGTGACAAAATTTTCTGTTTTAGGTGAACTATTCCTTTAAGATTTGGATGAAAATAATATCTGTAAAATATCTTAAGGAACTTTTATGAAAATTGTTTAACCAGGACATATATACATCGGAAAGGAGAAAGCTGAATAGCCTGTGGTCATCCACATGTATTTCCACGGGAACTTTGCTGTAATTCCTGTCTGTTCCATCAACAATACTGGACAGGGGTGTGACCCTCTGTTATCTACACACTGCACTCTTGAGAATATCTGTACATGTCGATAACATTCTCTTGAGTAAATTCCTCCCATGCCTGAGCATGTGCTTGTTTGAAGACATATTAAAGCAACTATATTAATGGGTCATGAATTACCATGGAATTCATTTTGACCTGGAAAATGTCATGCACACTTTTGACATGTCAGCAATTATAAAATTCTTGGAATTCTTTGATTCTTCAAGTTCCAGCACCGAAAAAACATATGAGACATGTCAATGCTAGGTAAAATGTATTATAAGTTATAAATATATGTTGATGAGCTCATTGTAAACAGGTAATCCTTGTGTGTGTTTATCCACATTTTTTAATCACAACTTGATTCTCCAGAGAAATAAACTTTTTAGAGATTCCTGTATTCTCATAATTGCTTTGCCAGTTCCGAGTTTCACATGCAGTCCTGATCTTGTGTTCAGTGCAATACTTGAGCAACTCAGCTCTGCTTTTTCTTTACCGCTTATTTTTTCTTTTTTATAAAGGTGAAGATAAATCAGACTCTACATCTCCATCGGGTTCTCCATTTCCTTCCAGAAATGAGTGTAGTATCACTCCTCTTACTCCCTCCCCCTCTCCGGTAAGATCAGGCACATTTCTTTAATATGCACCTTCTGCAACACTTTATAAACACTGACCTCAGTTCTGGATTAAATGCTAAAATCAGATTCTTTAGACTACAGTAAAGTTGAAAAAGGATGTGGCACCATCAGAGATATGTAATTATGCGTCTTTACTTAGCACTTAGTAAGCTAGTTTAAAATGGCACTATCATTAGATAATCCTTCATTCAAAATGCACTGCAATCAGTGGTATAAGAAAAATGTTTTTTTTTTATGTTTCTCAAATAATTTCACTCTATACTGTAGTCTCTTAGAAGTGCCTTATATAATTTCTATTTTACAAGACAGAACTGAAAAATGAAAAAAAAAAAAAAAATTCAAACAGGGTTCTTAAACACTCAGTCGCTGATTGGATAATAACATAACCTCACATCAATCATGTCACAAATTAGAGTACCGCATAATGTGTGAAATATGTAGATGCCCCTAATTCCAGAAGATCACAACTATGAGCTCTATTTTAACGATCTAGGTGCAAAGTCTAAAGCACATGCTGCAAAGCATTAAGGGCGTGTACAAATCCACTTTTAGTATTTCAGGGATGGAAAGCGCTCTGCACTGCGGAACATGGTCCAACAGTGTTGTGCTTAATCTCTTAATGAGTTATGGGCGTGTTTTGAAAATAATTACATGGTGGACATTATAAGTGGAAAAACTGAGCGGTTCACTTGTGAGAAAACGGTTAAACAGACCATCTGCAGCTTAAGGATAAAGAGGTTCGTTACTTTTTCTTTCTCTCATTCGTGAATAAGGAAACAGAGTTGTACGCACTCCACTGAAGACATCCTTTAGCCTACATAATTAATTTTGTTTGTTAAGCACAAAGATTTGTTTCAAAACTATTTCTAAATTCAGTTCTATATTTATAAATATGCATATAATTAATACTAATACTACTACTACTACTACTACTACTACTACTACTAATAATAATAATAATAATAATAATAATAATGATGATAACATTATACAAAACAAGTTGTCATGAATAAACTGAAAAAAGCCTTCCGAGGTGAAGAAGGCATGGAGGCAGTGTTTTTATATGTATGTAAAAAGTAATGTTTTTTTTTGTAATATTTTAATCCTTCAATTATTTTTCATCTTGTAACATATTTGCGTATTGCTGTAAATTCTGTGTGTTTTAAGCAATGTGTAAGCGTTTGAGGAGCACAACTTATGCTCTCTGCGCTGGACTTTCAGCTGGTCAATTGCACAGTCTATTTTAGTTTCTCAAAAAAGCAACATTCACCGTAACACACCTCTTTGCTAGACCAGAACACCCATGAGTCCACAAAATGGTGCAAACAGATTTGCTATTTAAACAATGTGGCACTAAATGGAAGAATTAGGGTTACTGGTCTGAAAACAGCAACACATCACAGCAAACACGTATTTTGCCTTATTGTGCCAGGTGCATGATAGGGCCCTAAATATGTATTTATAAGTGGCTCATTTGAAATAAACAGATTGATCAATTGTGTGCGATTGTTGCGAGGTTATGTTTTTAGAGTGTCTTGAGACCTTGGGCTCTATTTTGATGATCCATGCGCAAAGTGCACAGCGCAAGGCGAAAACACATTAGGGGCGTGTCAGAGTTCACTTTTGCTAATATAAGTACGGAAAAATCCACTTTGCGCCATGGCGCATGGTCTAAAAGGATTGAGCTTATTTTCTTAATGAGTTATAGGTGTGTTTTGAGAATAAACCAATCAGAGTCTCATCTCCCATTCCCTTTAAGAGCAAGTTGCGCCATGCCATAGCACATTTGCTATTTACATGATGACTTTGTAAGTAAAAAAACTGAGCATTTCACTAGCAAGTGTACAGTTAAACAGATCATCTGCAGTGCGAGAATGAGAGATAAGCCTTTTCATTATTTACTTTCACTTTCGCTCTCGTGGATAGGGAAACCTTGTATGCACAGACATCAATTAGCCTATAAATAATTAATTTTGTTTGTTAAGAGCAAATATTTGTTTCATAACTATTTCTAAATTCAGTTCTAATTTACAGCAAACGAATAAATGAACAATAGTAACGAAGTGTGGTCAAAAAACACAGTTATATCCAAATACACATGCTGTTCCCCATATGGTCTGAAACCTGACAAATGGGCAAATCTAAGCTTGTTTTTAATAAAACAAATATATATGGATATAATAAATAATACTGCTAATAATAATAGCGTTATACAAGAGCAAATTGTTATGAATAAACTGAAAAAGCCTCTCGAGATGAAAAAGGCATGAAGGCAGTGGTTTTTATTTTTATATATAGGCTAGAAAATATATTTTGTAATATCTTAATCCTTTATATTTATATCTTATATATATTCTTATTATATCCTATAAATATCCTTAATATTTTAATTCTTCTTCATAGGTAAAGATATTTGCGTATTGCTCTACATCTTGTGTGTATTGAGCAGTGTATAAGTGAGGCGCACAACTAACACGCTCTGCGCTGTACAATAGACCAGCTTTGTTCTAATGAAAGATCTATTATAGTTTCTCAAAATAGCAATACGCCAGCAATACACCTCAACACACCTCTCTTTTTAGACCAGAACACTTTTGGGCGCACATTTGAGTGCAAATGCATTTGCTATTTAAACAGCGTGGTGCAAAACGTCAAAACGACTCTTGCTCCAAACTTAAACTAGCAAATGTAGCACAGGTGAATTAAGTCACACAGAACGAGTATTTAAAATATATAACTAAATGAATATGAGCAAAACACACATTACATAGTATACTGATGAAATTAAATAAATGTTATTTTTCTTCAAATCTTATATAAATAAGAAAAGGATATTTTCTTTTTAGTGGATAGAATGTTTTTTATGATTTTTCATTTATCTGAGTCATTTTTGGTTCATTTGTATTATGTATGTAAAAAAGGGGTACTGGCCCTTTAAATCAGTTTTTCGGAGAAAGTGCTTCTCTAACGAGGCAGAGTTGAATCCTCCATTTTGTGAGTGGTGACGGAGCAGATCTGACGCAGATTAGTGCATCTAAACATCGCTATTTGTGCCGAAATACACCAATAATCATCTTATGAAAGGGATTTGGTGAGTGTTTAACACTTTTAGCATGTTTTTGCCTTGTTTTTGTTGAAGTTTGTCGAACGCTAATCTGATAACGATCAGTAAACAAGTGCCTACGCATTTGTGTGATAAAATCCCTTTAACATATATGCTTTAAGTAAAACCCTGAGTTTAAATTACTGTGTTTATACTTTATAGTGATTTTTGTCCTGGTCTTTATTCTGTGTAAACATTATATTTGAGTTTAGCTTGTTAGTCTGTTAATTGTTTTATGAGAAGGTTATGTTTAAGCCTGATTAAGTTAATTGCTTTAATGAAAAGGTACTTTCAGCAAAACGCAGTGTCCTAATTGTATTTTTATTTACAATATACAAACTAAATATGGATATTTCCTGTTATCTTTGGCCTAAAATACAGGTCAGGTTTTTGATTGGTGGAATTGAATGTTCTGGAAATCAGTTGATGGCGAGCCTCCCACGGATCTGGACACTTGATTGACTGAGTTGATCTCCCATCGCTATACTACGGTTTTTTCTGCTTTATGAGGTGGGATCTAAGCTTACTTATTTTTTATATTTCTTCATCATTCTCGGTTGGAAATACTGAGAAATTCCTGGACTGTCTCACGGACCTATATTTTTCATATTTTTTTCCTTCTGCCATCCGCGTTACACGGATTTGAGTCGAACTGTTCTTTTCTTTTTATAAACAAAAAGGGAATAGACTGATTTGAAGTTAAAGAGACTTAAGAAAGATTTTTTTTTCGGATTTTGACAACTTGGGTTTTTTGTACAAAGAAAAAAAAACTAAGTCTGTTGGACTGTAATGATTATTGATTCTTTGAGCTTTAGTGGTTTTAAGAAAGCCAACTAATTCACAGTGTAACTCTTTTCTGTGAGATACAAAATTTCATGAATGGGAAAATTACATGCTTAAAGAGACATAAGTGTGTTTAGAAGGTGCACCTTTAGGATTGTATGTGCTGTACAATATTGTCAATTGTATTTTTCTGATACAATTATACTGTTTTATTTTTACTGTTAAACTTTAGTTTATTTTTTTTATTTTTTTTCCATTGGCCATTTCATATAGTAAACTACCAGCTGATTTAAAGAAAAACCACGTGGAATATTTTCTTTTCTCAAACATTTATTCATACTATTTACAGGCTCCATAGTCGAACCTAACTGGTCCAAATAACATCTTTGCACTTAGGAAATAACACATAAAATTAGCACAACCAATAGCTCTTAATTATTATAGGTGTAAACAGGTGTTACAGAAAAACTTGGCGAGCCAGCCAGGAGCCTGTTGTACAGATAGTACAAATCAAATTTAATCAGGGTGTTTGAGATAATTTCAAAATGGAAATAGTGCACGCTGAAAACATTTGTATTCGCAATGCTGTGATAATCAGTGGGTTAACTCACACTGAGAGAGATGATGAAGTGTTAAAACACTTGTCAGATTATGGATCAATTGAGCGATTAATCCGTATTGATGAACCAAAGACAGAATTTCATGGGCAAATCATTGTTGAATTTAAGAATGACTCAGCGATGCAGTTATTAGAACAATCTCTTCCAACTGCCTTTCAGAGCCCTACCTCATCTGATGTTACTTATACTATTAAGTCACTTACCAGTGTATATACACCAGCTGCTAGCAGCAGTGCAACTCACACTTTCATTGAAGGGCTACGAGAAATTTCAAAAGTAACTGGCAAGCCATTGGAAGAGCTTTTACAGGACGAGCTGGCTAAACTCACAGCCTCTGCTGTGTCTCCCCCACAGACTGAATCAGAGTTTCTGACAACTGAGTCTGACCCTGAAGGCTCTCAGAAAAGAGTGGTAGAGCCAACGCAGACTACTATGGTATCTGCACATGGTGATGTCACACCCTCAAATGAGT